GAGCTGGAAGATACCTTAGAAGGTCATCGAGTCCAGCCCCTTGCTCTAGGCAGGACCAATCCCAACTAAATCAACCTGGCCAGGGCTTTGTCAAGCTGAGACTTAAACACCTCTAGGGATGGAGACTCCACTACTTCCCTAGGTAACCCATTCCAGTGCTTCACTACCCTCCTAGTGAAATAGTTTTTCCTAATATTCAACCTGGACCTCTCCCACCACAACTTGAGACCTTTGCTCCTTGTTCTGCCATCCGTCACTACTGAGAACAGCCTCTCTCCATCCTCTTCGGAACCTCCCTTCAGGAAGCTGAAGGCTGCTATCAAATCCCCTCTCACTCTTCACTTCTGCAGACTAAACAGACCCAACTCCCTCAGCCTCTCCTCATAAGTCATATGCTCCAGCTCCCTAATCATTTTGGTTGCCCTCCGCTGGACCCTCTCCAATGCGTCCCCATCCTTTTTGTAATGGGGGGCCCAGAACTGGACACAATACTCCAGATGTGGCCTCACCAAAGCCGAATAAAGGGGAATAATGACATCTCTGGATCTGCTGGCAGTGCTCCTCTTAAATGCAATCTAATATGCCATTAGCCTTCTTGGCTACAAGGTCACACTGTTGACTCATATCCAGCTTCTCATCCACTGTAACCCCCAGGTCCTTTTCTGCAGTACTACTACTTAACTGGTTGGTCCCCAGCTTGTAACTATGCTTCCGTCCCAAGTGCAGGACTCTGCACTTGTCCTTGTTGAACCTCATCAGATTTCTTGTGGCCCAATCTTCCAATTTGTCTAAGTCACTCTGGACCCTATCTCTGCCCTCAAGCGTATCTACCTTTCCCCCAGCTTAGTGTCATCCGCAAACTTGCTGAAGGTGCAATCCATCCCCTCATCCAGGTCATTAATAAAGATATTGAACAAAACCGGTCCTAGAACTGAACTTTGGGGCACTCTGCTAGAAACCGACCGCCATCCTGACATCGAGCCGTTGATCACTACCCGCTGGGCTCGGCCTTCTATCCATCTTTCTATCCATTTATCCAATCCACATTCCCTTAACTTGCTGGCAAGAATATTGTGGGAGACTGTATCAAAAGCCTTGCTAAAGTCAAGGTATATCACATCACTGACTTTCCACGTCCACAGAGCCAGTTACCTCATCATAGAAGCTAATCAGATTGGTCAGGCACGACTTGAAATTCTGAAAAGGGTTCCATGGCCAAATAAAATTGGTAAACACTGGCTTATCAGATAGTCGACTAGTCCTTCATATCCCTAGTGCTGAATCACTTTAACATTTCTAAATTCTTAAATTTGTTTTATTAATACAGGAGCTGAACCAATGACTCTTGGTTCCCCAACTTCTCCAAAGCCAGCAGCTGGTGCTCAGTTCTTACCTGGATTTTTAATGGGCGATTTACCAGCTCCAATGACTCCACAACCTCGCTCTTTAAGTGGCCCTTCTGTTGGTGTGATGGAAATGAGGTCTCCTTTACTTACAGGTGAACAAATTTTACTATTAAGCTGCTAATTTGATTTACTAATCCCGTGATCCTTGTTGCAAATTTGACATGCCATTTCCCAAACTGTAGTTGCTAAAGGTGGCTTCAAACATTCACATTTATTCACAATAACTGGTTTTTCATATAAATCTTAAGTACGCTTCATGATGATTAATATGACTGTTTCAACATCTTGATAAAACTTGGTTAGAATGTGTGTTTCTGTTGGCATAGGTTCAGTTTAGGGTTGGGCATTTCACTAGTCACAAAAAACTGGTCAGTTGGCTGGTCATAAATGGTCAAATATTTTAAAGCACTGATGTAGTAATTGGTAAATTGGAAGTAATATATATTTAGCATGTAGAGATTTTTGTTTATATTCAGCAATGTAGTGTTGGGAGAGTAGGAGTTAGAGTAGCAAAATTTTTTCTAGAGGATGAAGAAATATCTTGACTTACAGAAAGGGGAGAGGATTATTTCATAGGTTTTCAGTCAGGGTATTCAGTTGAATATGGGGGAAGTCTTGTAGAGAGGGTTAATACAGGTTGGACCTCTCTTGTCTGGCACCCTTGGGACCTGATGGGTCCTGGAAGAGGGAATTTGATGGACAGCGAGAGATCCCCTGATATCTGCCCCTCCCCACTGCCGGATCCTTCAGCCTGTCTGGACTGTCTGTGGGCCAGCCCTGGCTCCGCTGCCGACTGACTAGGCAGCTCCAGCCCCACTACTGGAACAGCATGTTACCCAGTCAGGTTGCCGCAGCTCCAACACTGCTGCCAGGTGTCATGTGGCCCTTGCTGAGTTGATTTTGCTGGGCTGCTGAAGCTGGTTTTGTCCGGTCTGCTACGGCTGCAGTTCCATGGCCAGGCGGCAGGCAGCCCCAATCGCATTGCCATTGCCACTGCCACTCAGGCTGATGTGTCCTGAGCAGGCTTCCCCTCTTGGGCTGCAGTGGTCCCAGCCCTGCTGATTGGCAGCAGACAATCCTAATCTCACTCCACCTAGGTGGCTGCGGTCCCATTTGCTGGCCCTCCTGGTCTCTCTCATCTGGGAACATCCGGGACCACAGATGTTGCTGGACAAGAGAATTCCAGATTTGAGAGGTGCAACCTTTAGATACGATACTTCGGTTTAAGCGAGAGGCTTACACGCTGAGCACCTTTGAGGGAGGAGGCTGATTGACTGAATTTCCCCTCCCCCCTTAATTTCTGTAAATTTGTTTAATCTCTCTAAGGCTATGTGTACACTGCAGAGATTTTGTGCAAAAACAGCTGTTTTAGCACAAAAACTCGAGTGTCCATAGTACAAGTGCATTTTTGCGCAAGAAAAAGTACAGCAGATCATCAGAACACAGGGTTTTTTGCACAAGAGTTATTTCTCTTTCTACAAAAAAGGTGTGTGTGAATGGACAGGAGGTCTTTTTTGTGCAAGAATTGGCCTCCAGGAAAAAGCACATGAACTCTGGTGGACACTCCATACAACTCATCACAGCTCTATAGTTACTGTCTGCTGGCTCCTCCTAAAAGTGCAGGCCCCCGGACGAGCCTCGTAGTAGGAAGCTGACCCTAGACAGCAGCATCTCACCACGTGGTTCTCTCTACCACAGCCAGGACAAGGCATGTGTGCCCCTGAGGCCCCGTGCAACCGCTCTAGCCCTCATCAGGACCAGCCCCAGGGGTCACCAAGAGGCGCGCACCCTCCTGGTCTGGTCCAGCGGTCGAGGCCCTCCTGGAGCTGTGGGGCTAGGAGGAGGCCTTGCAGGACCCCTGGGCCTGGACGAGAAATGCAGACATCTTTGGCCAGCTGGCACAGGCCTCGGCTGAGCGTGGACACCTACTCCGGACCTTTGAACAGGTCTGGAGTAAGGTTAAAGAACTGCGACTGGTGTACGTCCGTGCCAGCGAGCGCTCGGGGGCAGGACCCCATACCTGCCCCTACTTCAGGGAGGTCCATACCATCCTGGCGGATGCAGAGGATGAATCCCAGGTCTCGGGCACCTGGGAGGGATCTTCAGGTGAGTGGTCTTTTCATCACTCACTTCAGAGGGTGGGGGGTGAGTGTTGCTTTGGCTAGACATTGTGCTGCAGTCTGCGCATGTGCAACCTCGTGCAGCATTTTTTTGTGGCACGTGGACACGGCAGGCAGCTGCTGAATTCCCCTGGGATCCTGCTGGCCGCACACATCCTGCCACCGGGGCGGGGGGTTGCCATCTGGAAGCTGGCTAGCCGCAAGGGCACAGGCCTGACCCCACACACACTGAGGAGTGCCGCACACAGTACGTGGCCATGCCTGCCCATGTGAGACAGCAGCCGTGCTTGTAGAAAGCGCTGTGAGCCACCTCTGCGAGTGCAGTCCCCAGGGAGCCCCAGACTGCTCCCAGCTCTTCTGCCACCCCTGAGGGAATCTCACACTGTGGCCAGATGCTTCCCTGGGCTGCTTGTCTGTGGGCCGGGGAGTGGGGAGGTAGAGAAGCAGGCAACCTGGTCCTCTGGGCCGCAGACTTTTGGTCACTGCTCACGAAGGAGGGCACGGCCTCAGGGGCAGCATCTGCAGGGATGACTGACCACCTCTCCCTCTTGTGTGTTCTCCATAGATGGACCAGCTAGGAGTGAAGGACCAGCCAGTCCACCACTGCCACAGCTCAAGGACCACGAAGGCGCGCCATCCGGGATCAGCTCATGTGGCAGCATGCCTCAGCCATAGAGAGGATGGAGCAGACGCTGGCCCACAAGGTCTGCTCCAACCTCAAGTGGCGGCAACGTGCCTGGGAACAATACCTGGAGCGGTGTGACCTCGTGCAATATAATGGCCAGCATGGTGGCACACATCGCCCATGCTGCTCCTCCTGGCTCCCATCCTCCTGCCCCCACTGCCATGCCTTTGCCCCTCCTCCTGCGCGCCCCCCCCCATCAACCCTGATCCTGTACCTGGCCACGTCCCTGTTCTCCCTGCACCCACCCATCGACAACCCCGACAAAGCCCCTGCATCCAAGGTGGCACAGGCAGCCAGCCCTCACAGTCATGAGTCTGCCTCGCAGTTTAGAGCCCCCTCCTCCTGCCCACCTTTTGTTGATGGTCAATAAATACAGTTCATTTTTGGTTGCAAAACAAAGAGGTTTGTTTATTGGGAAGTCAGGGAATGGGAGAAGGGAGGGATTGTGGTGGGGAAGGGATGTGACTGTAAGGCAGGGGCCCCTTGGTAGGAGGCCCTAGAGACAGTTACTGGGTTACTTGTGAGAACCTCTCCCTCAGGGCCTCCCGGAAGCGTACCCCGGCCTGCTGGATGGCAGCTGTCCAGGGCTGCTCAAATGCATGGCTCTTGTGGCCGGTGTCTGCCCTCCACCCCATGAGGAAGGCCTCCCCCTTCCTCTCCAAAATGTTGTGGAGGACACAACATATTGCGACTGCCTCGGATGTTGTGCTCTCCATGTCGAGATGGGTGAGCAGGCAATGGAAGCGCGGCTTGAGACGGCCCACCTGATTCCTAGTCTGGTTCAGGTGGGCATTAAATTGTTCCCTGCTGGGGTCCAGGTGTCGGGTTTAGGGCTTCATGAGCCACGGCATGAGGGGGTAGGCCACGTGGCATCTGGACATCTCCAACTGCAAATTCCTGGTGGGGGAAGAATGTGTCCACCTGCAGCCTGCGGAACAGGCTGAAGTTTTGAAGGATGTGGGCATTATGTGCCTTGCCCGACCACCCCATAAAAATGCCCGTGAGGTGTCCATGGTGGTCAACAAAGGCCTGCAGCACCATCGAAAAGTAGCCCTTGCGATTGATGAAGCAGGCCACTCGATGGTCCTGTGCTTGGATGGAGATGTGGGTCCCATTGATGGCTCCCCCGCAGTTGGGGAACCCAAGGGTAGTGAATCCGGCTATGGTTGCATCGCAGATGGATGACCCTCTTCCGCAGGATGGAGGTGATTACAGAAAAACACAGAAAACACGCAAGAGAATGAGGGGGTGGGATACGTGAGCCCTTGGGCAGTGCCCCCCCCATGCCCTCTCCCCCTCCAAACACCTCAGGAGCCCCCCCATGAGGCTGCCCTCCTCAGCAGCAGGGCCGTGAGGGCAGAACTGCACAACCTTCCCGGGGAATAGGGTTTCTCCCTCCCCCCACCCCACTGCACCCCTTTCCCGTCTAGGACTCTCCCCCTCCCCCCTTCTCAGAGGGCCTTACGTGCATGAGGAGGGCCCTGAGGGTGGACTTGCCCATGCTGAATTGGTTGCCCACCGACTGGTAGCTCTCTGGGGTGGCGAGCTTCCAGACGGGGATGGTGGGCTGCAGGTGGGCGTCGCGTCTTCGGAGGACAGGAGCAAGCCAGGCACACAGATCCAGGGACGTCTCCTTTCTCATTCGGAAGTTCTGGAGCCACTGCTGGTCGTCCCCAGTAGGAACTGGTGTACAGCCTCCAGAACTGCCTCTCCACAGTGGGCTGCAGATGCCACAGTATAGCCACCGCATCCAGGGAGAGGGACTCCACATTGAGCTTGGAGTCGAGCTCCTGCAGGAGCAGTGTGGCACTGTGCAGCAACTGCTGCACAAACTGCACCATGGCTGTGTGGGGCCAGGGCATGCCCAGGGGCGTCGCTGGCTCCGTGGCACAAAATGGAAAAGTTGTAGTGTCCAAAGAAGCACAGGGAAACCACAGCAGGCGCTGCTACAGATTTGCTGTCCCTCAAAGAGGTCCACAAGCACGCAGCAGCGGAGAAACAGCTATCCAGGGAGGTCCCTTTAAGCACGTGTCTCTGCAGGGCTCTGGCACCAGCTCCCAGAAGCAATTGGTGACCTTTAGCCCTGTCTGAAGTGGTTCCGGGTGGCCTTTGTTGCGCAAGAACGTCCATGCGATGTGTTTTTTGTAGTGTAGACCTACTCTTGCACTAGAACTTTTTGCGAAAGATCTCATCCACAAAAAGTTTCTGATGTAGCCTAAGCGACAGTGGTTAGGTCAATAGAAGCATCTCCACCAGATGTTAGGTTCTTATAACTATGATGCTCAGC